AAAGAAATCTAAATAAGTTTAGGTATTAAAACTAGAACAGGAGGCACGTATTTGTAATTTTCCAGACAATACTACGTCGTTTAAAGCTAAGAAAGGGGATCATTCAACACAATCCCTAATTCCTTGACCTCGCCTTCCTTCGTTCATCGTCATACATAGAGAGAGAGGGAGACTGATATAGTTTTCGTTCAATCCCGAGATCGGCAGTCGGAGCTCCTCGACGATCGGTATGGTTCTCTCCGTTTGGCTTTCATTTTTCTGGGATCCTAGCTACTGTTTCGATCGGAAAGCTGTTCGCTTTCGTTAAATTTTCATTGCGGGATCTGCTGCCTGCGCCGCGCGAAGTTTGGTTTCTTTATGGGTTCTGATAGATTGATTTTTTACGCGTAAAGCTTGCGTCTTTCGTCTCTGCGGTTTATTGGGTTCCGATGAATTCTATATGGATTGAGATTTCCGCTCCTTTACGTTGTAGTTTCTATTGCCACTTCACAGTCGAATGGGTGTATTCGTGAGATATGCATTGTGATTTGGATACCATAAGCGCGGGAGAAATGATCCGTTGCGCGATAGTAATTGGCTTCAGTCACCTAATAGATTTCTTTTTCTTAGAACTAAAATGAAGTGTCTTTCTTTACGGGGTTTCAATGCTGGGTGGTGAAATTTGCCGGTAGTGTTCTCCTTTTCTATCGTGTTGGTATGATTCTTCGTATTATATGCACTTGGCTCTGAATTGTTGATTCGGAATTCGCTTTCCTGCTTGGTCTGATCATTTGGTGCATTGCTTTACTGAGCTGCAACACTTGTAAATTGCTTGGATTTCCATGCAGTGCTTAAAAATCTGTACTTAATCTTCCACTAAAGCTCATTCTTTTGTCACTGTTCTTGGAATCAAATTGACAGGCTTTCTAACAAAGTCCTCTCTGCGCAACGTGCTAAACTCACCTTAACCGACAATGTAAGCATTCGTTTCCTCTTCCTTTCAATTCGTATTGAAATGTTGGTCCCAGTCGGTTATTTTGTGTTTACATAGCATACTCATTCAATCTTGTCAAGTAGTAAACTAGTAATGGACCGTGCAAGTTCTGAAGGAATGCAAAGACTCTTTCTCTTGTTCATTTGGATGCTTCAACCAATAGTAAATTTCTATTCTTTGTATGGTATAGCTCAGCCTGATAAGCTCCTAGAAGCAATTTAGGGAGCCCATATACAAACACTTTAGGCATACTGAATACTGATACATCGACATGAATTTGTTGTCAGGCGTGAATGTCTAAATTCCGATAAGAAATGAGTCATTGAGTACTAAAGAAAGTTTCTTATTTGCTTCCCGCCAGTAGCGATTCTGTTTTTCTCGATCATTGACAACTCTGCTCTAGACTATCTATGTGCATATTGCATTTGGTTTTTACACCGCTTTAACTGCCTTAAATCTTATTTATTATTCCCCCTTCTGAATTCAGGGCTGATGAGGAACCTGTTGATCAGAAGAAGTACCTGGAAGAATCTTGCAAACCAAAGTGTGTGAAACCATTGCTCGAATATGAGGTGTGTACTAGTGATATAAAATTTGAACTACCACATCCTGTCATTTGATCACCTTGTTGTTATTGTGTTATGCCATCAATGATAATCTTTAGAAGAACAAATTTGTCTTGCTGATGTTTTTATCTGTTGCGCTTTTTGATGTTTGCTTGTAACACTGCTGACTCAGGCATGTGTGAAGAGAATCCAAGGCGATGATCACAAGCACTGCACGGGGCAGTACTTTGATTACTGGTTCTGCGTCGACAAATGTGTAAGTTTCCAACTATACGTCAAATTAGGTCTGGCGCTTTCATTTGCTGTGTGTGTATTCCATTCGTTGTCTGTCGCTAATGCTGCAACAACTCAAATTGCATTGCAGGTTGCACCGAAGCTATTCCCGAAACTCAAGTGAGGGGGAGATCAGATGAGTTGCTAATATCTTTGGTGTGTTTTGGTTTTCTTCCCTTTCGGAAGTACAGGTGTAATAAGTTTCTAGAAATTTTTTTGGTGATTCGTATTACCGAACAAAGCGGATGCCTGCTGAGGTTTTGTTCTTGATTTGTCTCTGGAACTTTGTTTTATGTATGACAGAATAATAAGAGTGTTGAAGAGACTATTTATCCTGGCTATTAGCTATGAGTTCCTCTCGAGACACTTGGCTTCTACTTAACTTGAGATGAATCAACCCCACTCGACTCGGGAGTGGCTTTACTTATTAACTCTACTTAAGAGACTTATTCCCTTGTTGGCTGTTGTTTTCTAATGGCTGTTGTAATTCATCTATTTGGTTTCTCTTGAAAGTGATGATGGGAGGAAGGTTTGCATAAAGCTCAAGATTTCGAAACTGTTGCTGACTTTTCAAGTGGAAAATGCTGAAAACCTGACTTGACAACGAAGAGAGACACTGCACTTGCTACCTAAACGAGGAAGCGGCAGCAGCCAGCCAGGCAGGCTCCCTCGTAAAGTTCAATGGTTAAAGGGTCTGAAAGCCAAGTTACTTGACTTCATCCAACTCGGACTAAATCTTAAATTATGGATGTATCAGAGAGATAAAGGGTCTCAACTTAGATAATCAGTTTGCGGAGCGGGAGCAAAATGTGAGAGCGCACATTATTCAAGAACTCAATATTCATAACGTGACGAGAGTGTGATATTATATTATTTAAAATACTATATAGTCAAATTTTTAGAAGAAATTGAATCAATCAAGAAGAGGGGAGCACGCTTGGGGTAAATTCATTTTTTAATGTATTTGTCCCATTTGGATAATTATGAATAATAATGAGGGGACAAATGATGAGTAAATCTACTTTCCACTAAACCATCCAATGTGTTGACAATGACATTAACTAGGAAATTCAACTATGATATTTTCCTATAAATAAGAGCATCCCCTGCCCCCCTCTTTGCAAGGGCACACGCACAAGTATAGGTGTCAAAACATAGCCCGACCCGATTAACCCGCCCGATCAACCTGACCCGCAATCCGACCGCAATTCGAATTGACTAAAAGTGAACAACCCGTAACCCGCCCGACCCGCAACCCAACTAACCCGCAACCCGACTAGCACGCAACCCGATTAACCCGAACCCGATTGACCCAAACCCGACTAACCCGTAACCCGACCGACTCAACCTTAATTTCATCTAAACCACTTGAATAATTATAACAATATACAATACATAGTTTTTCAAAATAAAGTTTTTCATTCTTAACTTAAGTAAAATTATTTTTTCATTTCGTATAAGAAATTTTAAAAATATGAAACTCACTTGATATTACGTATTTTATGAAAATTACAAAAATTGAAACATGAAGGTCACTTGAGATCATGACAATATTAATATAATATATAAATTAAAATTTTGGTTAATTTAACTATTCAATAAAATTATCAATTAAATATAAATAAAGTAAAGTAATGTATTTGGTAATTTGATGTTTTTAAAAGAAGAGGGAAATTTTGGTGTATTCAAGGTTTTGGGAAGAGAAAGAAGAGGGAAATTTGGTTCTTTGAATTTTTTAGAAAAGAAACAAGTGGGAATTTTGGTGGTGTTTGATATGTGGGAAGAAGAGGGTAATTTGTTTCTTTCAATTTTATGGAAGAGAAAGAGGAGGGAAAATTAAGTTTTTCTAATGTATGGAAGGAGAAAGAAGGAGATAAATTTTAGTATTTTTGTGAAAAGAAAGAAGGAAACAAATTTGGTGTTTGCAATTTTTTGGTTTTTCATAATTTTAGCTTTTGAAATATGAATCTTTAACTTTTATATGGAGGGCATGACTAGTTAAAATTATTCTTATATCATATATGCTGTGAAGGCTAATATGTATATATGTATGTAATTTTTTATGGTCTAATAAATAAATTAACCATAAGTTACAACAATTTATACTAAACTTGATAAGTAATCTTTGACGGTTTGTTGTTTAGGATATAAAGTATATGGTTAGGGTATAAGGTATAAGGTACATATGGTTTAGGGTGTATATGGTTAGGGTATAAGATATTGATGGTTTTGACGGTTCTAAGTTTTTTATTAACATATGTTCACTTGAAGTCATTGAAGTTTTTAACGGCAGGAGATCCCTTTTTGATTTATGTTTATGGTACGTGGTTAGGGTACAAGGTATGTGGTGTAAAGTATAGGATATATGGTTAGGGTATAACAATTAGCAAATATCACTTTTTATCTATGTTTTGAAAATCAAAGTATGAATTTCACTTTTAAATTAACTATACTAGCAAAATCACAACTCAAGGACATATGATTAGGGTATAGGTTATGTGGTTAGTGTATAATGTATTGATGGTTTAGGGTATACAATCAACAACATATACTAACTTAATATTGTTGATTGAGGGTAAAGCTAAGTGTATAGGATATATGCTATTGAGTAAGTTACGATTGAAGTCACAATAATTTTACTAAATTTGATAGCTAATCTTTAATGGTTCAATTTTTAGGATAATTCGAACAATTTTACAAATACACTACAGGAAATTTTATTTCTAGTCACGGGATCTTATTCACGGGAATGTTTCCCGTATGTAGAAGTATGCTAATAGTCACCGGAAAATTTCCTGTATTTAATTGTCCAGTTCTAATCACGGGAATTAGTTTGTCTATATTTTAGTCTTCATTACCCGTGATTAATTGTTAGTCATGGTAAATTACCGTGAACAATGTGATAATGTACCTTTACAAATTTAGGTGAAAATAAAGTAGAATTAAAAAAAGTTGTGAAACACAAAGCTATAAATTTTAACTCCCTCATTATTCTAAAAAGAAGAATTTAGAATCGGTACAATTTTTCCCTCGCAAATCAATCAGATTCCAAAAATATTACCATATTTTGACTAAACTTTCAATAATTATTGCTAAGTTGGACTCCTTTTGCAAACCCCAAAATTCATGTTGAGCATTTTGACTCTCCCGCTTTTTACTCCCGCCACCCCAATCTTTAAATTTGACTCCTGAAATATTTGGCTCCAGAATGCTAATAGGTTTGGCGCCTCCCCCAATTTAGTTTACCAAGAAAAAATGAAAGTAGCATTTCTTTCGTGGCCAAACCCGCACTTTCTTCGTTCCAAAGAAAAAAGCGCCCTCTCCTGGCCCCTCCGCCTTCATCCCTTCTTCCCCCGACCACCCTCTCATAGTCTTCTGGCCTCTCTGCCTTCATCTTTTCTTCCCCCAACCACCCTCTCCAGGCCACTCCGCATTCCTCGCCGTTGGTCTTGCCTTTTCCTCCCTCAAATGCCCTTTTGACGTCCTCATAACCTTCTCCTTTGATGCCTTTCCTTCTGATGCTCAACCCAGTAATTAACCTAACAACACAAACCCTCACTTCCCGGTTTCAAGTGCCCCACCACCTCCGCCTCCCACCATCGGCAACCGTCGCGGCGTCGCGGCCTTTTTAACTCATACGAAGAGATGTGCTTCTGGCCAGGTAGATATGTTGGCATCAATGCCCCTCCTCCGGCCGCCTTGGCCTCTTCCATTTTCGGACCTTTCTCCTCACCTTCCAGTCCCTTTAAGGAGTTGGTGAAGATAGACTGCCCAGCTGATTCCCTCATAGGCACTCTAGTGCTCGATTTCAATCCCAGGGTTTTACTTTTCCCCTATTTTATTGAGTGATTGAGTTTTTCCTTATGCATCCTGGCATGTCGAGTGATTGAGTTCATCTTGGTGTTTGCAGGATTATTTTCAGGGCAACCCGCTGGTGATTAAGTATGTGAAAGTACCATTGAGAACAAGCCCATCAAACTCCAGATTTTGGACACTGTTCGTCTCCTCTGCTTCACCTACTCTCTCTATGTGTGTAGTATTATGGTTCAATTCACTGTGAATTTGGAATCCAACTTCTTGTTGAGCTTGTAGTGTACTAGTGACCATCATTGAATCCAACTTCTTGTGTGTGTGGTGCTGTGTTGTTTAAGCTTTTCAATGATGCTACTTCAGTTGGAGATGACCATGTCTTCAGAGCTTACTATGGGTGATTGAATTCCTCTTTTACCATTGCAGCTTGCAAGTCAAACCTGAGCTGTAATCCAACATAGTTTTTGATTTATCCCTTGTCTTTTGGAGAAACTTTGTCGAGAAAGTATTTCCTTTATGTGAGTCTGATTTGTTCAGCATGCAACTCTGTGATGGTCCTAGTACTCTGTATTTATGTTCTACCATTTGTTGCTTTCATGTCTACTACCTGTGAGTGCTATGCAGACTTATTACCTCAGAGCGCTATGGTTGACTCTCTGGTGGAAGAAGGTGTTGTTTCGGCTCTGGTCAATCTGTTCTGCTTTGGAACTGCGTTGACAGCACAAGTTCTGTTTTCATTATGGTCAATCTTTCATGTCTACTACCTGATTTTGTCCATTGTTTTCCATTGCTATCTTTGCCTGTTGATAATAATGACTTCCCTTTCATTGTGCAGGGCATACGGCTAGCTGATGCAGTGATAAGGTGTTGAAAGTGGAGCAGAAATACAACGATTTTCTCTAGCCATTCTATGACAAGAAAGACGTTATCATCAAGTCCATTCCTTAATTATGTTTGACAGATGTGGATATTTCTTGAATTTTCACCTACTTATCTACCTAAATGAATTTTAGTTGAAAATGTATTGAGAACTCGCTAATGGAAGAGTCTTGGTAATGTGCAGTTTTTAAGTCGTCCTACAATTGGTAATCTTCTCAAAGAGGAAAACCAGAAGGTGTGTTTTAAAATGTGTAATAAAATGTGTAAGTTGGTAATGAGTAATGAGTTAAGTTACTTGATGTGCTGGCCCGAACAACCCGAAACCCGATCCACCCGCAACTCGCCCGACCCAAAACCTGGTGAACCCTCAACTCGATTTGCCTGCAACCCGATTGAATCCGAACCCGATGAACCCGCAACCCGACTAACCCGCAACCCGTTTGAACCCGAACTCGATGAACCCGCAACCCGACTAACCCGCAACCCGTTTGAACCCGAACCCGATTGAACCCAGCCCGAACCCGCCTGATTGACACCTATACGCACAAGACACAAGAGAACTCACAACACAAGTCATTTTGAACCATTTTGGACCTCTCTCCCTCTACCTTCTCTCTAAAAAATGCTTTCTCTCTCCTGATCTTCCAAAACGTGTTAAATCTCTAAACACTCAACACACTCTCAATTTGACAGACTAACCATGGAATCGTGGATAATCTCCACTGGGATGCATTTAATAGTCGACGACGCTCAATTATGAATGTGAGAAATCAATGCTCTCCAAACTTTAAACATATTGAAGCAGACTGCTCCAACCTTGGCATCAACAAGTCTAGTAGCTACATAGTTTCTACCTATTCAAAACTCCAATTCAATATGGAATAGTCTCATTCTACACTATATAAGTAACTTAAAATAAAATATAAATATGAAAGCACAAATATATGTTGAGTATTTAATTAAAGGAATTGTATAGAATACCACGTAGTCGAGTTGGTCATAGTGTTTTTACTTTGCTTTAGTAATTTGGATTCAAATTCTAGTGATAACATTTTTTATTTATAAAGAAAAAAGATGCAATTACGAAAATGACATTTCTACCGTTGCTCTCGGACCACGAAATTTAAAATGGAGAAAATTTGTTCTCATTCCAACTTATATACATATATATATATATATATATATATATATATATATGTAAAGTAGAGATGTATAGATAGGGATGTAGTTAACAAAATTTCTTGATTCCACATACCGTATAACCTCTTTAAATTAATAATCGATAAATTATTAACCTAGTATAAGTTAATAATTTCTCCGGTCTCGACTTGGGCCAATGTAAAAAATGAGCAAATTTAATAAAATAATAAGATAATAGTTTTTTAGAGCCAACCTAGATAAATATGTATATATTTTTAAATAAGAAGCCATTTTTTAATAGCACTTTTGGACACCTTTCAAATAAGAAGCCATTGTTGAATATGATTTTTACAATGCTCTGTAGTTCTATATATAGTGATCGAGTTACCATGTATTCGATGAATTATATTGAATGTATGATCAAGTAATATAGGGGTGCAAGTAATTTATAACATGAATCTATACCATCTACAAGAATACATTGAATACATTTACCTTGGAAGAATACATAATTTTCTTCTATTAAGTTTTAATACAATGAAATATGAATACGTAGAATGCGGTAAGTTATCGTATGAACTTGAAATGTTTGAAAGATACGATGAACGTACATCATAAGAAAAATATCTTTAAATTAATAATTAATAATTTATAAATTAATTAACAACTACTATAAATTAATAATTTTCACGGTTATGACTATTAGGGATGACAGAAATATCCGTAACCATGGATATCCACCCGAATCCGACCTAATCGGGTATGGTAAAATCCGAACCCGAAGCATTTTTCGTGGGTACGGGTAAAGCCCGAACCCGAATATTGCGGGTAGTGGGTGGGCATGGTTATCTCACTATCCAACCCGAACCCGCCTGATTATACACATGCATATGTATTTTGTCTAGAAATAATTATTATGTTTCTCTAGAATATTTTATATTTAGCATATAAATATAATATTTTCATGAAATCATGTTGTTTTAATTAATTTTCGTCATTCTAGTGAATTATTGTCGTACTTTTCCTCTTACGTAATGTGAGTATACGGGTGAATGTTAACATATTGGTTGAAATTATAAGGAGAAATTATTAGCCATGGATAACCTTGGATACCCGAAACCCGAACGGTTATGGGCATGGTTTTGATTTTCTACCAGTTGCTCGTGTGGGTACGGATATGGGTAAAACCCGAACTACATTGGGTAGGGTAACGATTATGCACTATCCGTCCCAGACTCGACCCATTGCCATCACTAATGACTATATTAATTTATGCTTTATCTCAGTCGCACCTCTCTTCTCCTGTACGCCAATGTATGTTGCAGTTCGTTCACAAAAAAGTTTGAGGCTGGCAGACTATGATAAACGACGTGGTGGTTCGGTCGCCTGCCCCATTCACAGTTATGTATCTGCTCACTGAACAGGATCCTTGATGTTGATAGCACGGCACATACATGGCCTTCATCTTTGATGTCTCGGGGGCAACTGCCAAGGGAAGACATTGATCTGGCCTCGGTTGGCTCTGCTACCAGCTCAGGCAAAGGATCCTTCTCCAGCTTCATTTTTGGTTGATCTTCTTCCTGGACCCCGTAGAAAAGAGTCTGGTTGCAACTTGGGTACTGAGGATTTCAGCATGTGATCATGGCACTTCATGGCGTACCACTTGGAGTCGTTTGGCATTGAAATGCCTGATTGAGAATGCTGTTTCATCATCATTTGCAGCTTCACTTGAACACCAAGATAATATTTAGTTAAATTGTTATATACCAACCTCATTATCATTATAATCTTTCTAATAAGTTACCTTCAATATTCACATGTCAAATTTTAATAATCCATCCATTTCACCAATCACTGGATCAAAATGACGCCTTAATTGGATCAGGCTGAGCCTAATGGTATAAAAGGGCTTGATTGGATCGTCAAAAAGTTAAAAGGAATCGAGGCGTCGATAATCTAAAACTTAGGGGATTCAATCGGTGGCCTCCCTGCCAGAATATACATGCAGGGGAGCTGCGTGGTCTGTCTGCAGTCTGCACTGCGTTTTATCGCCGACAATCCTCTCGTCACCGTCTCCGGCTCACTCTCAGGTGAACCCTGGAACACTGTTTTTTTCTCTCTAAACCCTAACCCGAGGTTCCAACTTCTCATAATCTCAGTTGAATTCAATTCCCTCCTCTCATCCCCATACGTAAGAACTTCCCGCGAAAAAGAAAATGCCTTTCGCTTCTTTCCTCCAATCCGATCCACGTTTTGCATCGCTAAATATGCAGACTTTTAAGCAGTGTTTACGTTGATTACAACTGGCTCATGGAGTTCCATTACAATCCTTGAATATTTTGTGGTTTCTGTTTCATTTTCTTCCGCTCGCTCTTCATAAAGCGGAAAGCTTTTCCCTTCTGGTTAGTTGGAGTTAGGGTTTGGATGTGTTCGTTTTGATTGCTGGATGGGAATTGAAGTTACATTCGCCACTTGGGTTGCTGTTAGTTAGTTTCTCTTTGTGTGTAGCTGGTTAGAACGGAAAATGTATGGTAGAGCTGGTCTAGAGCGATTCAAGAAAGCTCAATCCTCCGAACCGTTCTCAGTTTCATTCTGCTCAGCCCCCAAACCCACAAAAGCTCAGACCTTGCAGTCTTCGTCTTCCTCTGCGACCAATTCTTCAGTTAGATGTCTGCAAACAAATGTTGCTCAAAAGCCTGCTGTGCCAGAGGCAGGGCCATTGTTAGCTCTTGCTGCTCAGCAGCAGATTCAAGTTGGAGGTGGGCAGTCTACTTGGCAGCCACCAGACTGGGCAATCGAGCCTCGGTCGGGGGTTTATTATCTCGAAGTGTTGAAGGATGGCGAGGTTATGGACCGGATTAATCTCGATAAGAGGAGGCAAATATTTGGAAGGCAATCCATTCCTTGTGATTTTGTGCTTGATCATCAGTCTGTGTCTCGTCAACATGCTGCTGTTGTCCCTCACAAAAGTGGAAGGTTTGTCTATCTAAACTGTCTCTCGTGCATTGAATTAGGCATTAGGGCAATCCAGATCATATTAGAATAGCTATCTAGTTAACAGAACTAGCTCTCATACATTGAGAAGAATTCAGTAGAACATAGGTTGATTTGGTGATTTGACATGTCTCTTTTCAGAGGATGCTTATTTAGAGGTTCTGTATTCTGATTAACGAAGAGGATTTTTGGCTGAATTCTTCAAGTGGAACATTGTAGAACTATAGATTCTACATAGATCAAACAGTAGGTGGAATTATGAATTGCAGAATCATAGGATTCTAAGGGTTCGTGTGAGATAGCTTATTTAGAGGTTCTGTATTCTGATTAACGAAGAGGATCTTTTGGCTGAAATCTTCGAGTGGAACGATGTCAAACTATAGATTCTACATAGATCAAACAGTAGGTGGAATTAGAAACCTCAGAATCATAAGATTCTAAGGGTTCGTGCGAAATAGCTATAAATTTTTAAACTTCCGTTCATTTTGGGGTGATTAAGATCAGTTTGTTGCGAAGCAACAAAATTATAAACTAGCACAACTTCCCAATAACAATATATTGATCTTATCAATATTCTGTATCTATAAGGCTTAACCCTGTTAGAATACCCGATCATCAAACCAGGATAAAAGCTTATAAAAGCTTAAATTCTACCTCTGATTCTGCTGGTTAAAGCCTTAGATTCCATGGACATTAGCTTTTATGAGTTCACTCTGGACTAGGAATTGATTTGTCTCCTTCGATGTGGTTTATTGACTTTTGCAGCATCTATGTAATTGATTTGGGATCTGCTCACGGCACATTCGTTGCAAACGAGAGGTTGACAAAAGACACGCCTATGGAGCTCGAAGTCGGGCAGTCCTTGCGCTTTGCTGCTTCAACTAGAACCTATGTTCTAAGAAAGAACAATGCAGCTTTATTCACGAGCCTCCCACCTCCTACAGAGATCATATTACCACCATCTCCCGATGTAAACGACGAAGAAGCAGTTGTAAATTACAACACTCAGATAAATCGGTATGGTCTGGAAAAGCTTTCCGAGCTCCCAGACTTCAAACCTAGTAGTCATTTAATCAGAAAAAAAGGGGACAGCCAGCAACAGTCAGAGAGAGATGCAAAGAGGAGAAAGAAAGCAAGAGTTGTGTTCAAAGATCACGTTGGTGGTGAGCTGGTAGAGGTTGTTGGGTTTTCAGACGGCATAGATGTAGGGACGGAGTGTGGACCAATTGGGGTCAAAGAAGGAAGTCTTGTGGGGAGATACGAATCTCTTGTGCAGAGTGTGGTCATACCAAAAGGGAAAGAAGCGTCTTCTTCATCATCGAAGGAGAGTAGTGGTCTTTTGCAGCAAGGGGTTACTAACAAGCTGCAAGAAGTGTTGACTAAGGTCAAAACAGCTCCACCTCAGCAGAAGGGGTTGTATGACAGCCTTTATGACGAGTCGTTTTCTGGCAAACTCGGTTCATCTTGGGCGAGTTCTTCCGTCAAAGATGGCCAGGCAAAGGCTAGCAGTGGTTCGAGTGAAAACTCTCGGAGTAAGTTGAGCTCGTATGATGATGATGATGATGAAGATGATTTGTTTGGAGACTAATCAAGGGAATCCATCTAGAGGTATGCTTTAGCTTACTATATTTGAACTGAAGAGGAAAGTGAGAGATTGATTGTTATAGCAATTGTTGTGAAGCTGAAGCAGCCTTCAGACCCCGGGCTCTTTTGTACATGGGGAAACTTTTGGTTGTAGGTTCATCATGGGCAAGCTTTTGTTTGTAATTTGGGGTTTGATGTACTTTGAAGGTTTAATTCAAGCTCTGGTGCATTTCTCAGAGGAAAGGAATGAGATCAAATTGTGCCACTTCTGATTGGTTTTAGCTATGTATAGAACTCCATTCTAAGTAACCTGATGCACTTTTGATCAGATTCTGTTCCTCATCTTTCTGCTATTTCGATCTAGTTCTTATATCGAATAATTTTGCTATTCTCAGTTCAGTCCTTATTGATTAATACCTAAAACTCATATTAGCTCACTATGGTCCTTTGTACATAAATAGAGGTTATGCGCTGTAACCATAGCCGTAAAAAAAAAACTGTGATTTAAGCATGAAATGGACAGCCATGGATCTCATTTCCAAGAGTTGTGAGCAAACTTTCCCTTTCTTGAGATGTTGAAATGTCCTCTCAGTCTCTCACAAATACTCAACCTAACTAACAGAAACAGAAACAGAAACAACTGAAGTGGAGAGTCAGAGTGGTGGATTACATCGTGGATCTCTTTTTCCTTCTCCAAGCAAAGAGCATCTTTATGGAATAAACACCATCTTTAGTTTGTTACAACACAACACTACGAGATGCTTTCAAGAGGAATCTTGAATAGAAAAGCAAGAAGCCAAAGGGGGGAATATGGAGGAAGGAATATTGCTGTGGAATGCATAGACAAGACAAGAAACCTTCCACACACGCAAATCCCTCGACAGCATCAAAACACATATATAGAAGAAGAAGAAGAAGAAGAAGAAGAAGAAGGCAACTTTATTGGGTGGGATTTATGTTAGAGAGACTACTGAATTGAATGTTAGTGGTGATGGGTGGTTTGCTGCCTTGGAGATATTTGGTATGAGACTGAGAGGGAGTGGTACTGTGTAACCCTAGCTAGGCTATATACCCATTAGGGCCTCATTTTGGGCAATTTGGTTTGGAGTAGATATTGACTAGCTAGTCTAATTTCTCTTCAAGCTTTACACATGTAGTTGGTGACAACCCATTGTCACCCCCCATCTCCTTCCTCCTCTATTTGCTTGTTGAAAACTTTTGGAATCGTTGAGTGAGGAGTAGTTCTTACGTTTTGATTAACTCGAAGATGTCGAAAAAGATTTAAGAACTAGCATCCATTTATTCCCAAATCGTATATAATCGAGGCCTCTCACTTCGTTTCGTTCTTCTTTCTGTATTGTCGCTTGAATGAAGACACGACATTAATGCCCGCACACTAAACTTGAAGTTTATATGACAATCCTTATGCATGTCTCTTATACTTCAACCATTAAGTACTTATTAGGATTAAAAAACCAAATCTCATAATAAACAAACACTATGATATCATGTCAAGAACTCACCCCATCTTGATAAATGGAGTCTTTATTGCAGTTACTAAAAGTAATTCATCTGTTTAGGTGTTATTTCAACCGGATGAGATTTGCACATGAAAATTTGGATCAAAGGAAATAATGTTATCTTTTATTGTTGGGATGGAATGCTACAACCAACGATGGAAAGTTGGAATTGGGTTCCAACTGTCTAGCTAGCTAGGCAGAGCAACAAAGCAAAGAGAGAAAAATAATGGAATAATGATAGAGAGTCAGAAAAAGAGGAGCTAGGGTTTGGAGTGGAGTGATTCTCCATCGAACTACTGCACTTGGATGATTCATTTGACTCTTTAGGTTGCCTTGTCGGCCGCAACATAGTTACACATGTGCTTTTCATTTGGAATCTACTTCTTCCATCCCCACGATTATTAGGCTATATTTCTGTTACAAGTTAAGAGATGGTTTGGCTTTTCTTGCTAATTAATCACACTTCCATGATAATTACATTAGTAATCGTTCGACATCATAGGAAGATTTTGCATGCATGTGTATCAGTGTATAAAAAGGCATTTCAGTTGGTTATTTGGTTACTTCCTTCTGGGTTGGTTATCCAGACAATCGATAACTGACACAAATCAACTGATTCCAATAACTCGAGTGGTTGATTAGCTAGAGAACTGAGGCTCTTTGGATCTCGGTTCGATACTTGTTGGAAGAGTGGTTTTGGGAAGCTAGATGACTCTACAACTGCAAAATTTATGTGGGAGATCTATGTATATTTAGTTCGTTGGCAGTGGCGGTGGCAGGATTAGAAACTACCCATGTCCTCTTCTCATAATATAAATATAATTAAAACTAATAATATTCAAATAATTCATTCATAGATAAAGAAACAATCAACTAATACAATTATATTTTGCATAAACAACCACGAGGAGTTTTCCTATTCTGAAACAAATGCAAAATACATTCGTTGTGCACACTTGTAAGTAACTCTCTTTCAGTGTATCTCGTTAAACAATCATTAGCAAACTGATCGACAATCCAACTTTGAAGTTGTTCTTAATACAACTGAAGATAAAAATGCTCTTTCTAGTTTCATAAGCAAATAAACTTACGGATATACGACTTATGCACTTTTGTGTCCACCATTACTCGAGATAATTCATCATGTACAAGCAGTTGTCGAATAATAGTGTAATGAATGGAATCAATTGACTAATTTTTAGAAATTAATGAACAAGTAATGAGTTGTGATGTAGTGACAAAACATCCTTATGTTACTCGTAGGTGTGGTATTTTTTTATCTCCCAAAAATTACCCCTGTCCCGTGACAAGGCCAAAATGGCCTAGCTCCGCCTATGTTCGTTGGAATCAACTAACATGTTTAAGGTGGCTTATTTGAATAGAGATCCTTCAAAACTGAAAGTGAGAACTTTTTCCCCCAAGTTATATCAAAGTACAAAGTTAGATCCTCTACCCAAAACCCCAAAGCGACCATTAATGAAGCCACCCTACAAAATCAAAGCAAGCTATCTCTACAGGGGACAGCAGCAGGACTTGTCTTGCCACTGTATGGGCAGCCCAGTTGACAGTCCTCGGGACCGAACTAAACCGAATACAAGAAGAACAAGAGCTCAACAACTGGAGACAATCACGAAGTAAGGGCCCGCCCACCGAGTCTTCACATCATCTTCCGTCAATCCGCCCAATGACCACTTCAGAATCTCCTTCAATAATGACATGGGAGATGTTGCGGGAAAGCACTAAGGATAAGGCGTCCCTGGCAGCAAACAACTCTGCAAGATAAGGATTCGAAACTCCTGGATGGTGGAATCCCAAGGCCAAAAAGACTTGCCCACCCGTGTCTCGAGCGACGAGACCTGACGAACATCTCGAATCGCGAACAACATCATCAAAGTTGATCTTAAGAACTTAGATAAACGAAAATATGTAAGGTGAAACTAGGCCAAATTCACACCGTGAGGACGTACATGTTTAAATGGGAAGAGAGACATTAAGTTGTCTTTAGAATTAAAGTATTTCATCTCTTGAGGGAAGGTAATTTCTTTTCAAGTTAACCATAATTTTCACCGTGATCATTACTTCTATCATGTTATACTATGATGGGCTAATACCACTAGAACACCCGAACTATCCGGAAAATGCTACTTGTGTCCTATTGTTTTCAATATTCCATCTGTGTCCTGAACTATTATTCCGTTAGTGTTGACCGGTGTTGACCGTTAGTATTTAACAAAAAATCCAGTCAGCGTTGACGTGGCATCTGACATGGAATTTTCATTATCAAATTTCATTTAATAAAAAATAAAAAAAATAGAAAACCCTCCCAATCCCTTCTCCGCATCTCCTCCCGCCGTCTGGTGGAACCCTCTGCCGGGAGCCCTATCCGGTAATTCGCCATCAACACCCAGATTCTGAAGGTCGTGGTAGGGGAATCGTCGTGCTAGAGAAAGGGTGACAAGATTTTGAAGGTTCGAGATGCGGCGCCGCCACCACCTCCATCGCCGGCATCGAAGATTCATCCCAGCTTTAATCGTGTCAACAAGTCCTCCGTCAACATCGAAGATTCATCCCAACCACCGTCGATCCAGGTCGCCACCACCTCTGCGTCTTCCACTCTACTCTTCAAACCCAGAAATGCTGCGGACCGACATCCGACTCCCTCGCCACCGCACGCTCCAATCACCTTCTCATTCTACATAACCCCAAATTAAGGCTCGTGTAAAGACCTCTTCCCACTCCAGAATGTATTCCATTCTCGATTCATGATTTCAATCTACGATTGAGTTGAATTGAACAAATCCTGTGTTGGCAAAATTAGGGTTCTTCGGAAAATGGTAGAAGCTCCACCGGGTTTCCATTTTCCAGTCAAAATCCGCACTTGGATCTGGAGACCTCAGCGGGGAAGAGCTTGTGTTGCGAAGAACCCAGGACGACGGTGGCACGCTCTGAAGAGACGGCGGCGGCGGCTTTAGCGGAAATGGAGCAATTTAAGGAGTGGTGGCGAAGTTGGTGGCGCTGGTTGGGGAAGAAGAATTGGGACTGGATACTGGCCGCAGAGAGACGAGTGAGAACATAGGAGAGTGAGAGCTCACTCCATGTTGAGTCTGGAGTTGCATCTCGCTTAGCTCGAAGAAAGACGATAGAAACACAGGGGAAGAAGACGCTCGCTAGTCGCTACGCTGCCGTCGAAATGTCGAGATAATAGGATGGATTGAAAGTTGAAACTTCGAAGCTAGAGCTTCTCCTGGCCATGAGCGCCCTTTATTCTCGAGTAGTGGAATACTTGGATTTGGTGATTGCTAGGATTGGAGAGGAAGAGGAAGAAGCAGAGAATGGGAGAAGAGGAAGATTGATGCGGCGGGGAAGAGGAAGAAGCAGAGACGAGGAGATTGGGGAGGGGGAGCCATTTATTTTTTAATTTCTAAGAATTTTGTATTTTTTGTATTATAATTTTATTTAAATAATTTTATTTTTAATTAAGTAATGACATGTCAATGAGGTGGCATCTACTTGGATGCCACTTTTCTGCCACATCTGCAAAAGTCAACACTAGTTTGACTTCCGTCAAGTCAACAGTTATCTTTAACGGTCAACGTAAGACGCCATGACACAAATGTCACAAACTCATATAGTTCTTGACACAGATGGAATATTGGAAACAATAGGACACAAGTGACATTTTTTGAATAGTTCGGGTGTTGTAGTAGTATTAGCCCTACTATGATCAATGTTTTGGCCAAACTTCACACCTAACGAAGTGGGTTCACTATATGTGGGGGGAAGAATGAGTATAGCCGTATAGATGGACATCAATCTTGTTGATTAAGCCTTAGTTTAATCCCTCTCCTTTTGCAATTAGGTGGACACCTTTTCCTTTGATAATTGATTAGCATGGTACCATCAATCCTTAACTCCAAAAGGAGATGTCAAAAGGTTAAATTTTTCATACAATCCTATGTTTGGCCCAACTTTTAAAAGTGCTTTTCGACTTCAAAAGCTGAAACAGGGCTAAACACCTGTAAAAGCTCAGCTTTTGAAAAGCCGAAAATCGCTTTTGTATAACATAAAAGGAGAAGCTCCGATTTGTAGCTTATGCGAAAAGCTATTTTGAAAATACAAGATTATCCTTACCATATTTTAATTTCATTTCAGAAAATATAATTTTCCTTCATTTATATAATTTTAAAAATAAAATAAATTATAAAATCATATTATTTAATATAAAAGAAATCTAACAAGATCCATTTTGACTACTTTTTATTGTTTAGAATTTTTATTCATATTTTATATTATAAGTCCTTTATAGTCATTTTACACAATCTCTCATATTAAAAAGCACTTCTAATAGTTTTACAACCAAACACTCAACTACTTTTTTTGAAAAGTATTTATCTAAAAGCTCGAGACAGAAGCTGTTTCTGAAAAAACTACAACAGGACCAAACTAAACTAATAATTATTTTGATAGTAATGATGGTGGTGTGGTTATAAATTGGTCATGTAAATAATCTCTCATCACTTCTTGTCAACCAAAAAAAAAATCTCTTATCACCAATCACTTTTCCCTTTGTCATTGGTGCATAATTCTAAGCTATGGACTAGCTAGGTGGCCCATAGGCCTTTCTTTGGGTTTCAACTTTCATGCATCTTTTACCATGGTGAAAGAGATTAGAAGAATAAGAGAAATTACAATCGCAAAAAGAAACTAATAGTGGAAATAACATCAACTTCAAATATTATTGTCTTGGATTGACATTTGTGCTCAAGATTTGGACGATTATTTAGATAATATTAGCATTTTCTCTTATTGCAAGAGATAATTAGAGATAGTGATGAGGTTGTCTACTCGTGAATAGTTATTTATTTGCATTTTTTTTTGTCAAATCATATGATCTTAATGTAACTAAAATAACATTTCAAAAGTGAGACAATTCTAATGCAAGTTGAGATCAATATAATTATCAATATATAACTTGGATATATGGATTGATATGATTTTGGACGTTTTATATTAAACGATAGTAGAAAAACACTATTTGGTATAAAGAGCTAACTTTAACTGCACAACTTTTATTTTTGAATACACTATACATGTATTGTCTGTACATAAAAATCAGAAAAAACAATAAATTCAAACCATACAAATATTGTAACACACATCTAAACAATCACATAAACTAAATGACCCCAGAAAAGGGATTAGAAGTGGTCCAGAGAGTTATTATAATAATGTTTCTGATGGAAAGAAAGCATCTTGTGACTCCATAAGTTGAGACATTGTGACATCTACTTCAACTTGAGATGAAAGTAGAGGATGTGTGAAGGCCCCATGCATTTGTGTAAAATAATTAATATTCTCTCTCACTAATCTCCTCCATTTTTCTTCTCTTCTTCTTCCAAAAGCCAACATTTCATCTTCTTTCTTTCATTATATTGGCCCTTTCAAATCAAGTGGGTAGGCAAGGGAGCAAAGAAGAGATTGATGGACTCAAGGGGAAGATTTTGTACATAACACAAACAACCACACGCATGAAAAGAAGAATCCTCAACTAATATAAACAAACTGGAGAAGTAGAAATTCAACTGAAATTGATGAACACAACCCTCTAGTATGTGGCTTATTCAACTCGATTGGATTTGTTCTTTGTCAAACAGACCAATTACCATTTACAACTAGTAATACAATACCATTTGTATCTTTTTCGAGATAAAGAATGATATTACGAATTTTTTTTGTTATGGTGAGAATGAAACCGTCATATTATAAGAACAGCTCCATAATAATCGAAAATTATTATTATTAGGTTAATGGTATATACAAGCTAACTGAAAGAAAAAATTTAGTTGGCAAGAAACCATACATATTATTCTATTCGGTCCATGATGCTAGAGCCAAAAACATCCCAATAAGTATCTCTAATGAAAACTAAACATAATAAACTAAACACCCAAATAAATTTGTCGAATACTATAAGCACTTTCAACCAACAAAATTAAGAAATGCACATGGAACACATATATTAGACGCCTCTCAACAATGTTTCATCAGTCTTCTATATATCGATTAGAATATATATGTTGCTTACTAAGCCGATCAAAGGGCTTTTGGATGTGTAACCTAGCTAGCTAGAACCCTAAGAACTACCAACAACTTCCAGTAGTCCTCCAGGAACAAGCACAGCAATTGCCTTGATCGAACAGACGGCAACAGGAGAGGACACGTGGCCGACATGCAAATCAGAAGAGCAAGAGAAGGATAGGAGGTGAAGAATATACCACCAAGATAGTGGGGGGAAGCATGATGAAGAGATGAATTTGCAACAGAGGAGAGGATCCTTTAATTTGTGTTTTGTTTTTCATTTGTTTGTACATTTTGCTACCCTATATATGAACCCCACACCAACATAAAGATGGTGGAATGGAAGTGGAAAGAAAGAAACAAATGGACACACACAATATTGTTTTTATGAAATTGAAAGAGAGAAAGTAAAATGAAAGATCATCAATCTCTCTCAAGCAAATAGCAGATTATATTGCCACCCACTTGCAATTTTTGATGCATGCTTGTGGGGTGGAGATCTTTTTACTATTAGTTTAGTATCAATCATGAAGTTTTTGCTATCATATTTCAAATTGAACAAAGTATTATGAGAAGAGAAGATAACATGCTTTCATTTTCTTTTCAAATGATTTTGATTTTCGATTAAACTGTTTGAGGACATGTACCTATAAGAATAAATTTTTCATTTCAAAATTTGAGTAATTTTTCAATATTATTTAAATAATTACGAATTTGTTGGTAAATAATAAGTTATACATTTTTTATAATCTAGTATTTGAGATCTTATTATGTCAAAGCAATACAACAAGCTACATCATTTGAGTTTACTCATTCATAAAAGTATTTATAAAAAGTTATAAATTAGTTCAATAGTATTTGGAACCTCAATTACTTTTAAAAATTGGAAAAAATTATTAAATTGCTCGTTCATTCTCATAAAAACCCCAACTCTTGCTGACTAATCTCATCAAGCCACTCTTCCTCTCACCCTCTTTCCCAATATTCTTGGGGGTGAGGCATTAAAAGGAGTCTCCTATCGTAATGTCACACACCAAAAACCCACAAACCATTCCATTCCACCACCTCAAAGTTCCTTCCTTTTTCACCAAAAAAATAAAAAAAAAAAGCTCCTTCCTTTTTCTCTTCCATTTCCCCTCTCGCCTCATCCATCGTCACTTTACTCTCTTCCCTGAGTTCCATGCATGAAACCCGCTGAACATTCGTTCCTTTCGTAAACCCATCTCCAATTTTGGTCGTGAGTTCCTCATCTCGTAGTAAATTGCTCCTGTAACAGATATCAGAGCATACTCTGTAGCCGCCGCCGCCTCTGGGAACTGGGCTCTGATCAGGAATTCGCCGCCGGAAGTGGCAGGGGACGCCGTTGTAGGCTGGGCCAGGGGAAATTTTGATGATCGGCGGTGGCGGGTGGCTCGCAGCTATGTCCACGCATTTCATTTGGTAGATGCTTGGCGCCAAACTCTACAGTGCCTATCAGGTGTTTGTGGTAAGTTCCCTGTGAGTGAAATTTCTTGTTTGTTTCTGCTGTGTGTACTGTTTATGTATTTTTTTTTTTTGGTTTGGTTCAAGAACAATCCAATCGGTAATGGCTTCTAATTAGCTTCTGTAGGGATATATGTAATTGAGGGGTTTGATTTGATTGACCAATAGAAACCAACATCTGGCTTGGTCTAGTTATAATTGTCTCCCCACTCAAACAGCCAAAACATAAGCCTCCAAGGTGCTCTTTTGTTCTGTTCTATGCAGTAGGAGATTCTGCCAATACATTGCTACAGTACAGGGTGGGGGGAATGATATATTGGATTATTGTTTGTTAATATAATGGAAAAAGAAACAAACTTTACTGCATCGTGTTCTTTTCTGAAGAGAGAAAAAATTCTATCAGGATATGGACAAGGAGAAAAGCTTTGAAAACTCTCTGGGTCCTTATTGACAACTTTTCCTCTTTATCAACGTTCAAAAGTTGAGCTGCTAACAGAAGCAGCTAAAGTCTGCATATTCCCAGTGTGGTTTTGGCCTTTGGGATTGCTAGCATCCAATAATAATTAAAATATATATTGTGAATGTCCATGATTCTGGGTTGATGACCATGCATGACATAATCATTTCAATTCTTTTTATTGCTTTTTTCTTATAGTTTCTGTATTGTGTTGAGAACTTGTGAAGCTGGCTTGCTATTTCTGAATAGTAAAGCCAAAGTTGGTAAGTTTTCAGTTTTCTTGTTAAGAACCAATCCTTGGCCTTTTTCTTCAATGACTTTTTTTTCTTCAAGGACTTGATGCTTTGCTATATCAGCTATGGCAGCTTCCTTTATTTTTCTAACACATGGCTTAGGTTTCCAACCAATGAATGGTGGTTAAAGCACCCTGGACCAATATATTTGCTAGTACCAATCTTCTTTGGACCACCTAAAGACAATGATTATAAACCGCATTTCTTCCATCCTGAAAGGGAGGGCAATTGGTGGGTGCATAGACAGATATATTAGATATGTGCGAAGGATGGTGGTTTCTCTTTTGATCCTCTCAATTGTGGGAAGTAACATTATACTTAAGTTTCTGCTACCTACTATGGCATTCAATGGAAAGCTAGCAGCCCATTCTGCTCCACCTTCCCTTCCTTCTTTTAGCCATCATGTCCAAGTTGCCTGAGTCCCTTGAGGTGGGCACAAAAGTAACTTCATCCTTTCGCTCAACCTTTGTTGTGCCATTGTTTATGTGGATGTCATGCTTAACCATGCATCCATCCAAACCTTATTAGAGTAGGATCTAACTATTTTAGCAAAATGGGACAGTGATGTTAATGCTTCCTATTTATACACCAGGTGACACAACCTTTTTTCTGGTTCCATACTACTGCTCCATCATTTATGATCCTTAGGCCACCAAATAGTCATTGTGTGACACCTCAACCTTTTTTTCCTCCATATTATACCGTGCATTTATTTCTTCTTGCTTCTTGTATGTTTTTCTCCTTGTTAAACTTTTCCCTCTTTGGTAGACATTCCACAGCTCCAATTTTACTTTGTTTCCAATCTTTTCATCAAAACTCCTAGAGAAAGTTTGTTCTGAATTGGAATTTAAGCATTATTGTTATTATTTTTTTTTATGACGGTGAAGGCTGACTAAGAACCAATAATCTAATAATGGGGAGAAAAATTTCATGCTGTGGCCTGTGAATTGGATTTGTCGTTTGTATTAAGGAGTATGGGATCATAATCATAGGAATGCTTCTAGCTTGCTGTGAAGTAGACAGCACAAAAAAAAGTCAAATGTTGAGTTAGGTAGGCATCTTCCTCCATTCGGTTGATGTTCATAATGTTCAATGAAAACTTGGAAGGTCAAGTTCAGTATGTTAGTTAGATCTTTAATGGTATGGAAATGTCATATTAGTTGCCAATAATCACATGTAAATAACTTTCTTGTGTGGTTGGTCAGTAGTATTGCTTTCACTTCAATATTCCACCATTAATTGCAAGTATGCGCATATGGTTGTCACATTGGTATTATTTTGTTGGAATGTACTCATCAGTCACCAACATTCATAAGAACAATTTACAGTATCAAAATAGAAAATAATTTTGACTGAAATTTAAGAACTATGGATGCTATTGTCTGCTTGAGTGATTGCTGATGCATATTAAAAGATTTATTAATGCACACGGCCGTTTTTTGCTGCCAAAAGACAAGGGGGTTAAATCTGACCTCAGTTCTCAGAACTTACAGTTTCTTTGTTTGAAGTGTGTCAGGAGTTTATAGCACAAGGGTGCAAAATGTAAACTAGCAGTCAAAAGAAGAGCTATTTAATGCAACTCCAAACCCATATTTTTTTCAACTTCTTTGTAAGCTCCGCAAGAGCTTCATATGGCATTGCATGCACATAAATCTTAAAGCCAAATGACCTGAATTTCTTTTCTATTGGACAGGTGAACCTACCACGTTCTGTGTCTGGAAGGTTTTTTTACGGACTGGTGAAGATGATGGCCTCCTTTTTGGCCTAAACTTAAAGAAGAGGTAAGGTCTCTTTAATTTTGTCCGTGAATTTTGAAGATGAATTATTCTCGAGTTGCTACACAATTTGCCATTTTCTCTCTTCCCTTTGTTCATACATATGATGATGAACAAATTCCCTAGAAATTTTAGCCAACTGGTGTTGCCGGCCGCTACTAGATCAGCCCAGTTTTTGTCCCTTTCCAATGGATTGCTTCTAAACTTTTGCCTATCATATTTCTGTCTTACCTCTTCAAACTTGGGGACCCAGGAAGATTCAATAAATAAGTTAAATGAAACTGCAGTTGCAAGTTTGATTTTTTACAGAAACAGTGGATTTCTTTTTTTTTTGAGAAAATTCTTTAAGCCAAAAATTTCATCTTCTCATCTCACTCTATGTTGTCACCAGAAACTGTTTCAGTCAAAGGCCATTAGATAGCTGTTCCTTGGATGATTGTGCATACTGAGCCGCTAGATGCCAACCAGTCCCTTCTCAAACTCACCTTTTCTCATCCTAATCTTCTCTGTCTTTCTTTCTTTAAGATTGTGGGGGAGCAAAGTCACAGTAAAGGTGGTTAATTTCTTCAAGATAAAGCATATTGCTGGCTGGCATGCCCTCTTAATTGATTCTAGGAAAAGAAGACTCCCAGAAAAATGAAGTTTATGAAACTTGGAACCCGGCAAGATACCTTCTATACAGAAGAGGCTACAAGGTATATTACTGACTTACTGAATCTTCCAAAAGAGCATCAGAATCAGGAAATTCTTATGATAAGTGAACTGACTGCAAAGCTATATCTACTCGGATATTTTGAATTCGCTTTCGAAATGCAGGTCCTTAGCATCAGAAATCTCCAGTGACCTTGAAATCAGAATCAACGGTATTACTTACCTGCTCCACAAGGTACGAATTGATGAAAAAGCCACAATGCTATCATCTAGATTTTGGTATCCCTATACTCACAACTGATTTCGCTGTTCTTAGCTGCAGTTTGCACTCCTTCCAAGATGTGGGCTCTTACAAAGACTCTGTTCTGGTACTCCTGAACCTACCACTGTTACAATGGAGCTCCATGACATTCCTGGAGGGGAAGAAGCATTCGAACTCTGTGCCAAGTACTGCTATGGAATTACGATCAGTCTCAGTGCTCATAACTTCGTGCAAGCATACTGTGCTGCTAAGTTCCTTCGCATGACAGAATCGGTCGATCAAGGCAATTTTGTGCTTAAGCTCGAGGCTTTCTTCAACTCTTGCATCCTTGAAGGTTGGAAGGACTCCATCATGGCTCTCCAGACAACGGTGAAGCTGAATGAATGGTCCGAGAATCTGGGGATCATCAGGAGATGCATTGACTCCATTGTTGATAAAATCCTCATGCCTCCTGCTAAGGTTGGTTCTGGCAGGTTTCTATCCTCTCCCCTTCTTTTCATTGTTTTAGTGACCATTCAGCCATTTTACATCTTCAAAAACTTCCTCCCTATTTGCTTGCAACTATTTGGTGACCAAAACATTGCAGGTCAGATGGTCATATACTTACACAAGACCAGGGTTCAACAAGCACGAGCAATCCGTCCCAAAAGATTGGTGGACAGAAGACATATCAGACCTCGACATAGACCTCTTCAGATGCATCATTACAGCTCTGAAATCAACGTACATGCTGCCGCCACAGCTCATTGGAGAAGCATTACACGTGTACGCGGCTCGTTGGCTTCCAGACGCCACGAAAACTCGCCCTTTGGAAAGCTCAGAGCCGAGAGAAGTAGTCTCAGACAAGGAAAGTCAGAGAAGAGTCCTTGAAACCATCGTGAGCATGATCCCAGTCGACAGAGGCTCAGTCTCCATCGGCTTTCTTCTCAGGCTTCTTAACACTGCAAATTACCTGGCCACGTCTCCTGCTACAAAGGCAGAGCTCATAAGGAGATCAAGCGTGCAACTTGAGGATGCAAATTTGAGCGACTTATTGTTCCCTTCACATTTGGGTCAGCAGGTTTATGATATTGACTCAGTTGCAGCTGTGCTTGAGAGTTTCTTGGTGGTTTGGAGACGTGTGTCGCAAGAAGCTTCTGTGGAAGAGAGTCAGGTTGTGGCATCGATTAGGAGGATTGGAAAGCTTGTTGATTCTTACCTTCAAGTGGTGGCAAAAGATCCCGACATGCCCTTGTCGAAGTTTGTTTCTCTTGCTGAAGCTCTGCCAGATGTTGCAAGAAGAAACCACGATGAGCTTTACAAGGCCATCAACAACTATTTGAAGGTATGGCTCATATCTCATAAACTACAACATAAACTAGAATTTAGCTATATGAAGGAACAACGCCAATAAATATTGGTCAACTCGAATGAATTATGTCTGAATCGTGTCGAATCTCCATCCTTACTAGCCCATATCAATTGCTTAACAACAAAAACTCTGATCTTATGAAGTTTCTAAATTCCCGATTACTTTCTCAATCAATGTCGAATCAGGAGCATCCTGATTTGAGCAAGGCAGATAGGAAGAGGCTGTGCAGGACGTTAGACTGCCAGAAACTGTCACCGGAAGTTCGAGCCCACGCTGTCAAGAACGAGAGGCTGCCACTAAGAACCGTCGTTCAAGTTCTCTTCTTTGAGCAGGAGATCAAAGGTGGTGGCGGTGGTTCGAACAACAGAATGTTGTCTCAGGAACTGTCCTTCAAAGGAAAGCAGCCGGCACCAACAGCAGTGGCTGCTGCTGCTGAAGATCTGAGTAGTAAGCTACATTTGAAGAGTACAACATCAGAGAGCAGCAGCACAAGGAGCAATAAGCATGAGAGGATGAAAAGACTAGATAGTAGAAAGGGGAAGGTGGAAGATGAGAGGAATAATAATATGGTGGTGAGAGGAGAAATAGAAAAAGAAGAAGAAGAGGTTGAGACGGGGAAAGAAGGAAGCAAGTTGGATAGGAAGAAGATGATGGGGAGCAGAAGTGGATCATCAGACCATGGAAGGGATAAAGGTAGGGATAGATAGGTGAGGCTGCAGAAGAGTAGTTGTTCATTATGAGAGCCAAACCAAGTTCATAGTTGGTAGTTTCTGTTCTTTTGTTTGTGTAAAAAGTGAAGAGAAAAAGAAAAGCAGAACAAGGGAGTTGTTTATGTTGGGCAGTAAAAAATTAAAAATTGTAGAGTTCCTTTTTATATTATATGAGAGACCTTGTGATCGAATTGATCAATAATGTTCAAACTAGTTCTTTTTCATTGAGACTGTAACTGTAGAAATGCCATGCTAAAATAGTCACAAAATCATCTCTGTTTAATCACTTAGTACACAATCTTATCTAATCTAATCGATGACAGAGTAGAGCAGAGCAGGGCAGCAGCGGCAGCAGCAGCAGTGGTTTCAGAATGTTGAGGATAAGAAAGGAAGTTGGTTACCCTCCTCGTAAAATCATTTGGGCGTTTTGATTCGTTGGTATATGTACTATGTAGTAGTCAGGCTTAGCTTGGTGAATCAAAAATAACCCTCGGGAAAGAGAGAGGAAAAACGATGGAAGAATCTGCTCCAGCTCCATCTTCACCCAAAAATCAAAAGACGGAATCAGGTCGAGTTGATGAGCAGCAACAGCAGCTTATTGGTGCGGCAGAGCCGGTGGAAGAGAAGCCAACAGACGACGTCGAAACTTGGGAAGATGGTGATGATGATGAGGAGGAGGCCAGAAATAAGCTACTGGCCGACATTAATTGCAGCTCGAGGATCATCATAGTGGGTGTAGCTAAGCTAGCCATGGATTCAATGTTCACTGCATGCATGCATGCATCCTTAATATCATCGTTGTTTCGTTTTTGTTTCTTCTTCTGACGGCATACATCGAGCTAGCTAGCTAGGGTTTTATTCGTTTCATGGTTAAAGCTGAATCATCATGCATGGTTGTCGCTGGATCGAATTCTTTGCTTTACTTTGTCTCGATCGATCTGTGGTCTGTCCTGTGGAATTGATCATTAATTCTTTCCTTCATATATTTGATGCTGAAATCGGTGGTCCTGGTGAATTTGGCATTGTATAGTTCGATATCCGATGATGAGGAAGATCAAGAAATCAGGAAGAAGGAAACTGCAAGTTGGTGTGAAGTATGTGGTCGTTGAGGCCCTTTTTAGTCATCCGGTTCTGTTTCATCTTGCAATGGTCTACCAAAGAGGAAGGAAAACGACACTTCCACTTAGTGATGGCAATTTCAACCCGCCCCGCGGGTATTACCCGACCTGACCCGTGATGGGGCGGGTATTACCCGACCCGCAGTAGCGTGGGGCGGGGCATGGGTATCTACTTCCGACCCGCCCTGCCCCGACCCGCCCCGTTCTAGACTCATTTTATCTCAATTTCTTACAATATCTATACATATTTCTCCTATTTTGACTTTTCTTCAACTAGTTAGAGTCGATCTTTCAACTTGTTAGGCTCAATTATCCATTCTATTATCAATATTTTTAATTCTTAAAGTGTTTTTACCTACGTTTTATTGTAAAAAGTAAAATTTACTTGTATTTTTCTTGAACAACATGTAAGAGTGGGTCGACCCGCCCCGCCCCGTACCCGCGCGGGTTTTACCCGCCCCGACCCGTAATAGCGTGGGGCAGGACATGGGAATTGAGGTACCCGCCCCACCCCGCCCCATTGCCATCACTATTTCCACTCCTCACTTGTTTTTTGTGGAGATGCTCCAATACTATGGCCGGGGATCCAGGTTTTCGCATTCTTGATTAATTGTATCGACATTTGAACCGGGTAAGTGATGAGTAAGTAAATTAGATCGAAGAGATAGATTGATTAATTCTTGCTTAATTATTTATTTGGTGTCCTCTCATCTTATATATCATCATATCACCAATCCTCTATTACTTGTGTACAGCATCATCTTCTCGCGTTGCCGGGATGTAGTACTGGATTCATTCTATATATGTTATGTCTCTATTCAATATAGAGTGCTAGCTAGTTTATTCACTTTGATGATTATTGATTATAGATAGATAGATATTTGAAGTTAATAATATTGTTGATCATTTTGTTGCATGTAGATCTTCTCCGCAAAGGTTGCGTCTATTTCGAGGAAGGTTGCATCCATCCTCCTGTGGAACATTGCAAGTATGGTATGAATTCGATGGATGATCATAACAAGTTCTTATTATACCATTAAGTGACCGATCCGTACACCTCCGATTCAGACGAAGAAACAAGTTGACGGGGGACCAGCTGAAGTAGTAGATTCATATATATATGTTAGTTGGTAGCTATCGATCGACCAAACTTTGTTCAACTTCTATACTCTACATCTCCCGATAAGGGCGTTCAAACTTTTATCTCGTGTTGGTATGTGTGATTAATTATGTATTGCGCGCTATTACAAGTGGTAGCTAGTCACAACAATCGTGACAAGGGATTAGCCACTGTCGTTCTTTTACCCCAATCTAGCTAGCTCAATCAACACTTATTATTGATCACTCATCAATCAATTATCTCAATATGTGATGTTGGATGATCTAGTTCGAATATTGGCTTTACATATCAACCCATTAAAGCATGAACCAAAATTTTGCCACAAGGCTCCCTCAATCGAGATTAGGGCATTATTGAAAAGCTTCGTCGCCCAAAGACCTAACTCAAATAATAATGACTACGTTCCCTTGCATTTAGAGACCAATTATCCTCTCTCAAAGCTTATGGTAGCTAGGCCTAAGAAATTCCTGTTTAAATCAGGAGAGTTTTTAAGTAAATAAGATTCTTGGTTGATAGCCCTGGGGCAGCAGATAGTGATTACTGACATGTCAGTAATAAATAGGGACCGTAGATTTAAGAATCAGGCAATCGTGTGGTTGGGCCGGATGCTGAGTGGAGGAAGGGTATTTTTGTCCGTTTATACATTAAATTTTTTATTTTATTTCGTATTTAATGGTTGCATTTTTAAAGAAGGAAAGAGAAATCACTTCTCTGCAGCTTTCTATTTTCCTTCTCTCTTCCTTTTTCTCTCTCAATCTCTTTTTCATATTCTCTCTTCCTTTTCTCTCTCAATCTCATTTCTAGATCTAAATCTGCTCTCTTCTCTTCTTCTTTATTTTCTTTCCATAACGAATGAAAATTGCAGCCACTCTTTTTCATTGCATTTCTTCTCTTCATCATCTCGTTGCCCTCAATTTCGATCTTTCTCATTTTTTCGGCATTTTGGTGTTCTTGATTGCGGAAGAGGAAATGAGAGGCGACACAAGACGATTTTTTTCTCTACCTCCTTCTGTTTTTTTTTCTTTTAGATAATATATATTGATATTATAACTCTATACCATATGGTATTCGGTGGTAACGAATTATATATTGATATTACCACACTATACCATATGGTAATGTATGGTATTGTGAGGTAACGAATTATATATTGATATTACCACACTATACCATATGGTATTATGTGGTAACGAAATATATATTGATATTACCACACTATACCATATGGTATTGGGTGGTAACGAAATATATATTGATATTACCACACTATACCATATGGTATTGGGTGGTAACGTAATATATATTAATGTGGCAAGTTTTTTCATACCATATGGTATGGTCAATACCAGTCAATACCATATGGTATAGACTGGTAATAACTGACAAATTTTTTTTATGTCCAAAAAATATCAAAGTGGATATCATTTTAAAGAGCACAATTAATCTGATCTAACTGTGCAAAAAAAATTAAATTCCGACTTAAAACAAGTGAGAAATCGTCTGTTAAAGATTAAGAGAAGGAAAATTAAAGGTTTTTTGAAGAGAGAGAAGGCGCTGATGTGGTCCGGTCAAAAGTCAGCGTTAGCAATAAATAGAGCTAGGTGCAATTTTACCTTATTGTCCTTCTGCATTTAATTTAAATAAAAAAAGGACTGACACGTGGAGACAAAAGAAGAGGTTACTGATGGGTTACTCACCCATCAGTTACTGACATGATCTAGTCCCCCTAGCTAGCTAGAATAATTCTCATGTGGGTCTAAGAGTAGGCAGCTTTCACCCAACCCTTTCCTTGTCGAGGCAAGATGTTGGAGACTCCATGATGTGTGCAACAACTCTTCTGGGTCCAAGCTTGAGTCGGAATAAGTCATTCGTATTAAGTTATGTGAATCTTGTACAATGTGTAAGTATCAAAATTTCTTTTAAATACAAGCACTTGAGAATTTTATATATTAATTGGTGTGAATCGTAAAGTTCAAAACATCACATATCATAATCGATTTCTAAAAATTTTACAACTAATAGTAGTCTCCTAGGTTCAATTCTCCCAGTCTACCAAAAACGATTTTATAACGGAAGAACTTGGTATTGTCTACAAGATTTTGAACAATAACTAATTGTTAAAATTAGTTCAACTTTGAGCTCTAACTCCTAATTACTCATTTTTTTTAATAAAATGCTCATAGAATCTTTACTAATACAATGATGTTGAGTATTTCTTAAAGTCAGTCGAACCATTTCGTATTAGTTTACAATATGCATTATTCATGTGTTTAGTTGTGAGCATATGATATATAATTTTCTCATACTTTTTGTATCAATACATCACAATCATATCACCATTATAACATTTGATCTTTATTATTAATTAATAACTCCTATAATCACCTAATTGCGATCTTAGTCTTTTACTAATTATTCTCATTTCTATTCCTAACACAAATACTTTTGAACAACTAAAGAAACATACAATTCCTATATGAACAAACCAAACCTATTTCAAAGATAAAATAATTGGACAGAAGAACAAAATGTGTCAAAGAAAAACCATCAGTTAAAGAGAATCTTTCGGTAGCCGCTGAACCGTTAATAGGCCTTTCTGTTTCTTCTATCAAATCTGCAGCTTTCTTTACTGTTCTGTGCATTGTCGTTACCCTTTACCTTCTTTTCCCCTTTATTCTAATGGCAATAAAATAATATCAGTCCCAATCATTCACTTGCTCATACATCAATGGAGGAATAACACAACTTACAAATCTTGTTTGTTTTTTCCCTTTTCCCTTATTTTATTTTATTTTATCTCTTCCACTTGACGTACATCTCCTACAAGGCTTCTTTTCTTCCCCTCTCGATCCATAGAGACACCGATAAACCGCAGATGTCTCCGAATCTCAACTCTTCCTCTTCCCTTATCTCTGCTTCTGCTCAAAGGTGAGCCCTTTTCACTCTCTTCTATTCGGTGTTGCGCCGTTTCTCTTAGATAGGTGCTCTCGATAGCCTCTGATCCCTTGTGGGTTTTTGTATATTGGCGGGTTGTGTTCCTCTGGATCGGAAAGATTGTGTCTTTTCTCGCGGTGAATGATCGTAGGCTACTTTGTGAGGTTTTAGTTGAATTGGAGAATTGTTCATCTCGAATGGTGTTTCTTTTTGTTTTGAGCTGAGATTCGATCCATTTTGTACTGATATTACCAATTGTATGTTTGTTTCGCTCAATTATGGATGAATGATATCTGTGGAACTCAACAATGGTGATAGGTATGGATTGTGCTGATATCTGGGGACAAACATGGAGCAGTTCCTAGTCGGATTGAAGCATTTGTGTGCGGCAGTTGCGAATTGTTGTGATGCTGATTTGTATAAGCAACTCAGAGGGCTGCAAGATCCAGAGGCTCTTGCAAGAGAAACAGTTTGTATGTCTATCTAACTAACTACCCTTTTCATGTCTCCTTCCCTTTGTAAAGTTATCAATTTTACGGGCACTGAGGCAAGGTAGAATTTCTGGTTGTGTGTGCAAATTGTAGCTAGTAAATGTTGTTGCACACTGTGAGTAAATTCTGGTCCATTGAATGACATGGTGTGTTTTCGGTGAATGCAGTCAGTGTTAGCGAAATAGAAGCACTTTATGAGCTCTTTAAGAAGATCAGTAGCGCGGTGATAGATGATGGTTTAATAAACAAGGTAAGAAAAATCATTCATAATGAGGACTTTAGTGGTTAGGCTTATACATTTGCTTCTCTTTGAGTACAGCAATCGCTCAGTATTATGAACATTTTTGTTGCAGGAAGAATTTCAGTTGGCCTTATTTAAAACGAATAAGAAAGAGAGCTTATTTGCTGACCGGGTATTCTTCTTTTCATATAACCTACAGACTGTCACTTTTTTTTTCTTCTGTCCACTTCTGATGTCCTTTCCTTTTTCTTATGTGATGCTGAGCTTTTCTCGCCAGAGTCTAACTCTTTGATCCTATCTGAATCTTTTGAAGGTATTTGATTTGTTTGACTCGAAGCATAATGGTGTGCTTGGTTTTGAAGAGTTTGCGCATGCCTTGTCAGTCTTTCACCCCAATGCACCTATTGATGATAAGATCGAATGTAAGTGGCTAGATTCATGCTTCATATAAGCCACATGTTTTTTTCTTTCTCTCACGCCCATTTTGTGCCTACAGACCACCTGCGAGGTTATGGTTCTTTGATCTGTCGAATTCTCCAAAACAAAAAATGTCTCATTATAATACTTAGATGTATCTGAAGTTGCCAAACTTGTTATCCTCTGCAGTTTCATTCCAATTGTACGATCTCAAACAGCAAGGCTTCATTGAGAGGCAGGAGGTATGAAATGCTAACACTCATTCCATCTTTTGGCTAGAAGAAGACTCATAATGAACTGTTCAAGATACGGCAAAATGTGATCTGATGCAGTTCCGTAGGATTGAGTTAACTTCTCTTGATTATCCAAAATTTTCATGGTGAATCGCTAGAAAAAACTGAATGTCGTCTAGACCCATTTGTATCAAGAATCAAGATTATGACACTTAAAAATTCCTTCATGTTATGCCCTTTTTCGTGTTAATGGATCGAAAGTTTCTCACTTCCTTCATTACAAGATCAATTCCTTAGAAATCCCTTTGATGATTGTCAGGATTAATCTGTGCAGGTGAAGCAAATGGTAGTGGCCACACTTGCTGAATCCGGTATGAATTTGTCAGATGATGTGATTGAAAGCATCATTGACAAGGTACTACTATCGCATCTAATTAATCTATTTGAATGCTGCTAAATTGTTCGCACGTGTTGTCAAGATGTCATGTTTCTTATATTGCATATCTGAAACTCGGGATCCAGTATGGTTGCTGATGCATGTTTTGTATTTAGACGTTTGAGGAGGCCGATACCAAGCATGATGGTAAGATTGACAAGGAAGAATGGAGAAGCCTTGTCTTGCGGCATCCTTCACTTTTGAAGAACATGACCCTTCAGTATCTCAAGTGAGCTTTAACTTTTCAAATTTCCAGTTTTTTTGTATTCGCGACTGGTCTACTAACCTCATATTGTTCTTCTCTAATAGGGACATCACGACAACATTTCCAAGTTTTGTGTTTCACTCACAAGTCGATGATACATGATCTTCAAGTTTCCTTTTGAAGGAGAAGAGAAATGTAGGAACCGCGAGATTTTTCGTTCTGGTTTCTTCTTTTGTGCAGAGTTTCGCCGATAGGAAGAAGCAAAATTTCATTCGTACCGAGGGCTTGGATGGGAAGCTTTTTGTGCTCTGATGAAAAATTGAGATGCAGTTCTTTCTTTCTTTGTTTTTTGGTTCATTGTGTAATGCTGTGTAAGGACAAAGGTATAGAAAGTTAGAAAGCTTTGCAGTTGCCTTGGATTTTTTTTTTTTTTTTTGTTTGTTACTATGTGAAATAGATTGGAACAACTCCACCAGATTTTTGGAGTGATATAGCTTAAATGTTTTCATGCTCATTCAAGCAGAAGGACAAGATGGTGAAGTATATGATTGACCGGAAGGAGGATGAAAATCCTACCGAAAATGTATTTGATTCGATTTAGTCTGATTGTGACTTGGTCTATTTATCTGTGTAGTTTGCAGAGATCAGATAACCTATAAATCCAGTCAAATCTTACTCAAATGTTGATTCGATTCAGCTGAATTTGTGCTCACCCTAATCCTGCTTGAACTTTGGAACACACTAACACTGCACATGAGAGAGGGAGGGAGAAGATGTATCATGATCTGAAACTTCCCTTTTATTGATTGTATTGACACACTACAGAAAAAGCCTGCACAGCAGTTCTGTCAAATGAAACTATGATATTGCAGCAGTCAAGGGAACTCGGTTCCCTCTTTCAAACAGATCGGAAACTTAATTCAACTACACAACAACATCTGATATGTAAGCATTTAACCTCTTTGCTCATAGCAATAGTAGCTGCAATCAACAGAATTTGCCAAGTCCTAGTTTCATTCCTGTATGCTGCTCACCCATATAATCTCTTCTTCCTCCACGGACTCTTCATTGTTCCTATGCAACCCCATACTTCTCTCCAGAAACCCTCTCTTCATCAACCTCGCATACTTCGCCCGGACACTAACAAGAGCATGCTTCTCCTGGAGCTCTCCACGATCATATCCTTCTCTAAGGACAACAGTCTGAGTATCACACTTCTTCGATATGTAAAACACACCAGGATGGCGCTCGAACACCTTAGTAAACTTCTGAGGCAAACGCAATGCTGTCCTTAGATTGCTGACATTCTTCCTCTCAGTCTTCTTCTCCAATGTCAGATGAAGCAGCTCATGAAAGACTCCCACAATCCTCTTCTCGGACACATCTGTCCTCACATCCAAGCTCGATGGATCAACATAAGGCGAAGTATAAGGAAGCTTCTGCCACTCTTCTAACCAAACCATGCTCTTTCTTTTTAACCCGAATCCTCTGGTGAACCCAACTGGAAACCTTAAGCAACCATGTTCTAGCTCTTCTTGGGGAGCCTTCCTCTGCAATTGTGATATAGCAAGTTGATCATCCCAGAATCGGAGCTTCAACCCTACACGATCATCAGGGAAGCGAACCAAACAGAACTTATATGGATGGTGCAATACTAAGGAATCATGGTACTGGTAAGGCAACCCCAAGTCCCATTTCAGCTGGTCAATGGTTTGGAAAGGAAGAGACCTGTCCTTCGTGAGCATGAGCAGCTTGCAGAGCCTCTCAACAAGATCGTTTCGATTTTGATCAATTGCATTCTGCTCCTCCTGGTGGAGATCCAATGCCTCAGGGGTCAATTGGAAGGAAGGAACCCGAGTTCCACCACTGTCGAGAATGTGGTATTCATGGAATATTGTTGGGTATCTCCTAAGGAAAGTTGAGAGCTTGAGATCGAGAGGCAAACCTAGTTGGCCACGATGCTTGGTGAGGGAGTAAACAGGGAGGGAATGGCTGGGAGCAGATGATATTATGGAAACGAGAAAGCAGGCAGCTTTCAGATCGCCCTGGCCAGAAACGACCCTGTCTAAGACACTATCTTTAACCCATTTCAATTTCACATTCACTAAGCTGAAATTCTGCTGCAAGCTGAATGCTTTACGACAGCCATGGAGGAAACCGGAAACGTTCCCCCGTCGCAATGAAAACATGAGAACAATAAGAACTACTCACCGCTTATTGACGAAAATGGGAGAAACAAAAGCAGAAGCGAGCATAATGGAATTCTGGGTTGTCGGATTTAATGGGAAAGGAAGGAAATTGTGTGTAGTTTGGAGAGCGGAGGAGTTGAATCTGCGACTGCCTGCCAACTGTTTGTAGAAATGCGTGAGACAGAGATGCCCGGGAGGCGAGAGCGGGAGGTGGATAATGGCGGGAGAAGAGTGAAAGAAGACGAAAGACCGGTCCATCGGGAGTACAGTGATCGTTTCTAAAAAAAAAAAAAAAAAATCCGAGTACAGTGATTGATAGGCGTAAAATTCAATCAATATTCAATATGTTCAATTGATTGAAAAGGGAACGGAAGCTCTCACGCCGCATATTAGTATCTCCCACCGCTATAAAGCAGAAATCGCCACTTGCTCCCGCGCTTTCCATCTCCCATCCCACCACACAAAGGCTTCGTCGACGTAAAAAGGAAACCCACAACGAACCAAACGTCTTCGGCGCCAGTCCCTGTCAGTGTCAGATACGATACGACCCTCTGTTCACTCCCAATGTTGGCTATGTAATGCAAAGCTTCTCCCTTTCCTCACTCTCTCACTCAGAATTCAGAAGCTAACTCTCTGCTATAACTCCGACGAACATTTTTCAACCAGAGCCCCGGCAGCCATGGCGGACAAACATTACCGGGTTGGATACGCCCTCGCTCCCAAGAAGGCGAGCAGCTTCATCCAGCCGTCCCTCCTCGACTACGCCGCCGGCCGCGGCGTCGACCTCGTCGCCGTCGACCCATCAAAACCCTTGACCTCACAGGGCCACTTCGACTGCATCATCCACAAATTCTACGACGAGGATTGGAAGCTCCAGCTCGAGGCATTCGCCGGGGAAAACCCTGATTCCGTGATCGTCGACTCGCTCGTGGCCGTGGAGAAGCTCCACAATCGCGTCTCCATGCTCGAGGTGGTGAGCAAGCTGAAGCTCGATCGGAAGGAGCGGGCTGAGATTCCCCGACAGGTGGTGGTCTCGAATTCCGCCGAATTGAAACAGAGCGAGGCGGTTAAGGAGCTAGGGTTTCCGTTAATCGCCAAGCCGATGGTAGCCAACGGAACAATTCTGTCGCACAAGATGTATCTAATCTTCGATCGTGAAGGATTGGCTGAGCTGGAAGAAGCGCCGGTGGTGCTGCAGGAGTTCGTGAACCACGGCGGCGTGATCTTTAAAGTCTACGTCGCCGGTGGCCATGTTCAGTGCGTGAAGAGGAAGTCGTTGCCGGACATTACGGATGACAAATTGGGGGCGCCGCCTCTGAAGGGCTCCCTCCCTTTCGCTCAGATCTCCAGTCTGGCCGATGGCAGCGAGTCGGAGTTCGCCGGCGTCGAGATGCCACCGGAAGGGTTTGTAGAGGAAGTTGCTAGCGGGTTGAAGGAGGCAATGGGGCTGCATTTGTTCAACTTTGATGTGATTAGGGATAGTGGAGATGAGAATAGGTATCTCGTGATTGACATCAACTACTTCCCTGGGTATGCCAAGATGCCGAATTACGAGCAGATTCTGACTGGTTTCTTATTGGAGATCTTGGGAGTGAAGAAGGAATAAAAATGTGGAGAAGATGGTGAGAATGGTGCTTTAAGGAAACAAGCATTGGTGTCATTGTAGGCTAACAGGGTTCTTGAAAGTTTGTTTCTTTCTCTGTGTTTCGAAATGCTGTTCAAGGTTTGGGATGGTGGTAAGAAACGGTGGATGATGAAGATCCACCCATTTGATTCCAAATGTTTCATGTTTATGTTGTGCAATAGCTTTCCTAGCTAGTCAAAGGGCCCATTTTGTTTGTGCAACTGTAACAGCAATGGTTTCTATTTGTGCAATGCAATGGAGTTTCTCTTTTTCCCAATGATTCGTCTTTGCAAGAGTCTCCCTTATAGTTCCCTTTTCTTTCCAGGGTTTTTGCGTTTCCACTAACAAGCTACATCCATGAAGAGTTTGCATATTCTTCTGATGATTGATTGACAGATTAACTCATCCGGTTGAAGCTGTTCATATGAAATAGGTCACATTCTTCCACACTTTCCTAGATCCTGCGGGATTAGGAAGTTACTGTTCTCGACTTTCAGTACCATATCATTGATGCAACTGATGTCTATTGTATGGCTTTAGAGATTCCCCCCAAATAAAGTTGTAGATTCAGAGACTTGACTTTTGGTTAGGGGGTAGCACGCAACATGAACTCAAATCTAACTGGTAGTGTTGAGACTTTTAACAGTTGACTGTACATGGTTTTGGCAATCAGTGAATAGTAGGGATTGGAACTCTTGTGTTTTTCAGCAATTAGCATAGCTTCCATTTTTTCATGGAATTTTTGGTTGTTCAAACAAGTTCGCCAAACCAAACGTTGTTCACATAACTATGTACATAGGAAATGGTAATTGGAACAGTTGTCAACTGCATCTGCGAAAACAAAAAGGCCTTAAGTTAGGCTGGTCATTGCTATCCTCCTCCAACTAGTTTGTCTGCCTCTACAAAATCCAGAAAAAGCTGCTCTCACATGCTCTCCTACTAGTTCTTCCAGCCAAAGTGCCACAATCCTGTTCATCAAGTTTTCATGTATCAATTGGTATATCCTACATAGCGAATTGCTAATAACCAGGCATACAGAATGAGCAAACTTTACCACTCAGACTGAAGTTGAATCCACTTTCCGAAGCGGTTTTATCACCATCAAAGCTACCTCCAACGGTTCTTTTAATATGCTTTTCTTGGACTGCAATGTTTGAATATAAAACGCATCAATCTGGACCAATGGTGCCAAGAAAAAAAGTGATGCAATTGATAGGAAATCAACTCGGCTATTATCCTAACAGCCAAATTCGTAAGCTTTGGCTGCTGAGTTGAGACATGTATTGCTCATGCAAATAATACAGTGAATCCGATGACGTGTTGTACCTTCAAGGAAGGAACTAATGCAAACACTTCTTCAGCAGTCTCAGGGCAAGCATTGGCAATCACGCTTATCTGCATCCATAAAATTAAGCTGAACATGTTTACTGGCTTATGCCTCTCCTTAAGTAGTAAGGATTGGACTTCCAAAAGAGAGTTCAAGGGAGATACCTCTCCATCAACAACACCATGCTTCTTGAGAGTACTGGGTAACTTAAGTTAAGAGATCCACAATGAATTGAAACACTGAATTGAATATTATTTGCTATAAAAACGAGTGTTATGTGAGAGGCTCTAAGAGAGCAAAGACATATGAAGGATACTCTAGAACACGTCTAACGGAGTGAGTATTTGTGTAACGAGCATTAGCCTGTGCGTAACTCAGCCCCTTGTGAAATGAGCTGCCAACCACAAAAAGAGACAGGCTTATCACTTTATGATTCTTCTACCTGATAAAAGAAGCTTGGAGTATTCCTTTACTCACACAGGCAGTTTGATGGTTGCATCTTGAGATAGAAGAGTCATCTGATCCTGTATTCCTTGTAAGATTTCAGCAGCCTCACTGTCCATTAAGCATTTGGCATTCTTCAGACGATCTAGCAAAGGCCAGGAGAAGAAAATGTTAAGGTTTGTTAAACCTATAAAAGGATAATAATCAGAGGAATGAGTTTTGCTGAATTTTTAGGAACAAATAGAGACTACATACCTTGGTCTAACCTAAGCTCAAGTGGCTCCTTTTCTTTTGATTTCGAGGCCTTTCCATTTGCAGTGCTTCCATTACCACCTATATTAAGAACCATAATAGCTTGACATAAAAAAACATATACTATAAAGGCAGCCAAACAAAGAACCGAGGGAACAAGAAGGAAAAGTAAAGGGGAAATGTGGTAAGGAACATAAAAATTCGACCTTTATCAGCTGAGGAACTAGACTTCCCGTTTGACTTTGAGTAATCAAATCTCTCTTCAGGAGAGCCTGAGATACAAAAATGGATGTTTAGAAATAACACTGGAAAAGAAGATGCTAACAATCACACTCCTTCACATCTATAGATGTAATAATAGGATATAGCACACATGGGAAAGAGAAAATTAATAAACATGATCGATGAGCAAAAAAAGACAGCTTTAAGAAAGATAAGAAGGTGTTAACCTCCATTGTTGAACTGAACTTTCCTCCCCTCTTTTGACTTTTGAGAGGAATCATCCTTGCCTATAAAAGGTAGAGAAACAAAGTATTTAAGAAACATAGAGCAAGTTAAATCATCCTCTACTTCAGGTGAAGGTACAAAACGAAGCTAAGCAAGCCGGTGGCATGAAACTGATCTAAACTACCAGTCTCCCATTTCATGCACACTATTCAAGCACCAAAAGATACAAAATTCACAGCTTCATCACAAATTCCACAAACACAGAGGATCACCTGATAACCAAGATAAACAATGTGCGTCTAGAAGCACTTAGCAAAATCATCAGAATAGTGAACCAGAAACAATCCACCACCGAGGGCAACTTCCTTGGATGGAAAATCTGGAAGAGAGTGCTTATGCACCTTCCCAGCAAGCAGCAAGTTAGAAATGGACGGTCAAATATTCATGGGTTATCTCAACAATTCACAGTTTACCACAGCATCTTTCACTGCACCATTCATCTAGTTCAGTATGAAGAACAAAACCATATTCACAGTTCTCTCGCAAACTGGCTTTCCGCAACACCCAAATAAGAAAAATGTCGCTTCCTAAGCAATACTCAAGAGGGGAAAGGGAAATCAAAAGACAGAAAAATGGAAATTTCTTCTTCATCTATCGAAAGCAAATTGAAGAATAGCGCCAAAAAAAAATCCTTACTTGGAGTGGACTTGAGAGAGGACTTAGGCATCGAAACCCCTTTCCCATTTTTCTCCATTGCTATCAGCTAAAAGTTGCTGTGAAGCCAAGAAAACAGTCGAATGATCGTCACTTTGACATGTGTTCCACACTACCCAGAACTCGAATCGAAATCGTCATGTTCATGCAATCAAGTAGCTATGATTTCTAGAGCAAATAACCTAATGGACAACGGACATCATTGGAGAACAGGCGAATGGAATATGGAATGACGAAGGAGAAGAAGCGAAACCGCTGAGAAGCTTACCGAATAGAGATTGCCGGAGATTGGTGGTCGGCGATCGACTGGTGCCGTCAGTCCAGTCCCTCTTCTAGTTGTTCAAGTCGGACGATAACAAATGCTGGCGATTTTCGCATTTTGCATCAGACCAGCTCGGGTATTGTCCAAAAGACGAATAGATACAAAGACCGTTTAGATGTAAATTACAGAAATGGTCATTGAATGTATGCATGTATCTTTTCCGCTGCCACCCGGGAAACTTTTTTAGTACAACAGACACTTATATTATTAGTTTGTCATGGACCAGAGTTACCTAGAGAGCAAGACACGAGAATACCCTTCCTGATGTTGAGCCATTACATAACAATCATGTTTACTGCATCTATGATCTAACCTTTATGTTTGGCCCTGAGTACTAGGAGCATACCCATGGGTATTTATTATCTAATTTAATTGGGTTGGGATATGAAATCCAAATAGATGATAGATGACAGAGTTTGATTGGTTTGTACGCATTTCATACTGGGCGAGGTTGCGGTGATTACTTAGTATATTAGTAATCACCGTGGCTACCATGGATAGAAATGGTATTTTGATTCCCTTACAATCATAACTACCATATTAATTACGTGGATGTTTGGGGAGAGATAATTACGGAAAGTGATTAAACTACCGTATGTCGCTGGTGTAGTTTGGATTAGTAATGTTACGTACTTTGTATAGCTGTATTGGTAGTGATCGGCATTGATAGTGATTTTTAATCTGTAATGATTGTATTGGTACAAATTTAAAGTTGGATTGATTGTGTTGGTATTTATTTGATTGGTGTTGGTATTATGATGACCATTATTGTAATGGTAGTTATTTAGCCTTATTGTGCAAGGTATTGTCGTGTCTGGTTAGTTTGGTATTAACTTCGGTCACATGCATCAATATTTTTTATTGGTTTCGTAGTGGTTGTGTCTTTTCGCATTGGTTTGTCACAATTGATGTGGTGTGTGGGCTTTGCTATTGTTTGTAGCAACCTTATGTACGATAACCAATACCATTCCATAAAACTCGAACAATACCATTACACATATAACAATGAACACTATCGTTCCATACGGTAGATCACTACCAATGCATGATAGTCTCTACAAAACCGCACACACGTACCATACCAAGATCAACAAACAATGCAACCCATCTTGACCACTGGGACGGGATACAATAACAACACACTTAGTGTAGTTATAATAACAACAAGGGTAAAATGATCCATTAACACAATATCTAATAAAATAAAATTCAATTAATATATATTTGCTGGTCGCTTCCCCTTCTCCGCTTTCCCCAATCCCCATCCCTCAACTCCGACCCCAATTCCGCCTCCCTTGTCCCGTCGCTGGGCGGTTCTGCTCTCCCCCATTTAAAAATAAAAAAACAAAATGAGCAGTAAAATAATGAACCGGTCGTACGGTGGTGGTAATTACTCCAAGTTCGATAAGGAAGACCCAGAAGAAGTATTCCACCGGCAGGCTCAGTTCCTTATCTACAAGATGATGCAACGTGCCGACGATTCGCGGCGGAGCGCGTCGTTTAGCCAGACCAAGCTCTGCAAGTTGAAGGTGAGGATCGGGAAGAGGCTGAGAAAGCTGAGGAAGGGCGTGGTTTTGAGCATGTCGGCGGCGAGGTTGAGGATTTAGCGGATGATTAGGATTTAGTGGAAGCGGTTGTTCGGCGGCCGCTCAATCGCCAGCGGCGGCGGTGGTGTTCTTCCTGCTGCTGCTGTAGTTTCCATCTTCCCAAAACCCTGCTCCCGAGCACTTCCCACTCTCAATCCAAGTAGGTCACTCTCATTAACCTTGCTGTGGAGAATATTGTTGGGTACAAGATTCTTGCTATTGTCAACTTGATCAAGGAAGAAAGGTTCAAACTTTCTTATCGTCTCTCCTTTCTTGTCCATATTTCCCATGTGGGTGATTATTGTGAATCGGTTTTGTTTTTTGTTTGTTTAGGGTTTAGGGTTTATGACTGGAGTCAATCTGGTGTTGATAACTTTTGTTGCTGTGTTGTGTGTGTTCTTTGCACCAACTGCAGCAGGACCTGAGATCCCTGAGATCAAAGCTTATCTTAAAGGGATTGATACACCAAACATGTTTGGTGCCACTACTTTGCTTGTTAACGTAGGATTATTCAGTAATCTGGCACTTAAGAACATTTGGTTGTTGGATTGAGGTTAGTGGGTTTCGGCCCAAATTCATTGGATGAGAGATCTAACAAAAATTCACTGTTTCTACCTTTTCAGATTTCGGGTTTTAGTGCTGGTGTAAATGTATCACCAATTCATAATGCCAGACTAGCAGTGATTGAGTTGATGATGTTGATGAAGGAGATGGAAAACATGTGTTATGTTTCACTAATTTGTGGGGGAAATAAAATGAACTCAACAAGACTGCTTCTGTATCACTGAAAGAGAGACTGAGGCATTTTGATAAATCCAATAAAACATACTATAAAACACACCAAAAACCTTGTAATGTAAACCATAAATTCCTGAAACATACCAGAAAAACCATAAAACACACCATAAATGTTTCTAAAGCACACTAGAAATCTCATAATGCAGACTACAAATCGCCTAAAACATACTAGAAACACCACAAAGCAAACCACAAGTCTTTCATAAGCACACCAGAAACCTCCTAATGCAGACCACAAACGTGATAAAAAATCACAAAAAAACACACCAGAAACCTCCTAATGCATAGCACAAATCTCCTAAAACAAACCACAAACCTTACAAAGCAAACCACAACATTTGCGAAAGCACACCAGAAACGTCCTGATGAAAACCACAAACACGGTAAAGCAAACCACAAAAACACACCAGAAACGTCCTGATGCAAACCACAAACGCCGTAAAGCAAACCAGAAACCCCGCAAAGCAAACCACAATTTTTTTTAAAGCACACCAGAAACTTCTTAATGCAAACCAGTTTCACGATAAAGCAAACCACAAATAGCATAAAAAAATACGAGAAACCAAACCATCAATCTCACAATGCAAACCATTATATCTGGTGGTCGTTGACCGTTGACCGATCAACGAAAATCGTTGACCAAACTCTGATGACCGTCGTTGAGTAGATTCCGGCGTCGATAGGCATATTCCGTACCCTGATAGACCGTCATTTACACATGTTTTTACCCCCGTTCTTACACCGTTTGAGGTGTTGATTCTCGTGTTTTAGGCCGATTTCACGCTAGGTTGTGCTTGTTTGTGATATTTCAGGTCCTAGTACGTGAATGAAGGCTTAGGAGCGAGTCTGGGGTCGATTGGACGAAGAACGGACGAATGGCGAGGTTTTTGGGGAGCTGCACGGGCAGACCAGAGGGGCTGCACGGCCGTGCACGGTTGCAAGCTGGCCGTGCGCCTCATGCCGAGGAGATGCACGGGCAGGCCCTGAAGATTGCACGGCCGTGCACCTGGCCGTGCAAGAAGCCTGAGTTCAATTAAGGGATACGCTGCGTTTCATGGTGCACGGCCAGAATGGTGAGGTGCACGGCCGTGCACCCTGGCCGTGCAACTCGGGAAAACCCGGTTTTAAAGCCTAATCCGAGCCAGAAGTGAGAGAAGAGTGTTTTCAGAGCAAAAACAAAGCCCTAGAGAGAGAAAGTACGAAGAACACATCCTAGAAGCTGTCTTAGAGCTGGATTTCATCGAATCGAGCCTGGAGATCGTCATAGGAGTGAAAATCATCGTCCCGGAGCAGATTATCCTCATCGTTATGAGTATGACTAATCCGATTCTTGTTTTCTCTTCTCTCTCTATGGAGTAGAACCTCTCTTTCACTTGGGGATGAAGAACCCTAGTTCTATGTGTTAGGGGATTGATTGTAATGACTTGGGATGATACTACTGTTTGATTTTAATCGAATGATGCATGTTTCATGAATTGATTTGAGTCTGATCAGCTTGTCTCAATTTCTGCTTCAACCTGAGATAGATAGAATCTGATTAGGTTGTTAGAGCCTCTTCATTCGATAGTAGGAGACTGGTTATACGAGAGTTAGCCAGTTTACTGCTCTGTACTGGAATCTAATTCCAGTAGTGAATTTCTGTTCTTACTGCTTCAGCTTTCTATCCCGGTGAAGACTAGTCGTCTGCCGGGTAGTTAGACTGAGAGGGCTTGGTCAGCTTAAGAGATTCCAAGCTACTGTCGGATCTTCCGCAGTCTAATCAACAGTAAATCAACCCAGGGTAAATTGCAATTGAAACCTAACTAAAGAGCTAGGGGGATTCATTCCCGAGTGACTCTTTCCTGCTTAAGAAAACCGATTAATTTTCTGCTTTATTTCTGCTTTTAGTTTAAACAACAATCACTTACTCTAGTTGGCTAGATAACAGAGAATCACTGAGTAAGCAGTAGATCTAGAGCCCGGGTTGATAATATAACTTGCCTGGTACTGCATTCCCGGTCTGCGATTACACTTGGTCGCAGATTGGTGTTGTGTTTTGGCGTGTCAAGTTTTTGGCGCCGTTGCCGGGGACCCTCTAGGTTATTGGGGAAACGTGAGAATTTGTTACTCTAGCTTTTATTTTCTGCTTTTTATTTCTTCCACCTGTGTGCCTTCACGGGTTGTTTCTGCTGATTGTGTGCAGGTAGTGCATGACCCGTAGCCAGTCGGGAGATCTACTACCACTAGACCAGGAGCTTGAACGAACCTGCAGAAACTTCAAGCGGGCTCTAAAGGCGCGACTGGCTACGGAGGAGGCGCTATCACAGCTGCAGTTAGAGGAGGAAGAAGAAGAGATGGCTGAACCAGGGAACCATGATGTGATCCCCGAGGAGCAGACCATGGGCTCCTACTGGACCGCTAGAGCTGCGGACATGAGGTCACCCATTCAGCACCCTCAGGTCCCAGCCAACAACTTTGAGGTGAGCACCTCCGTGATCACCATGCTGCGCGGTTCAGTAGTGTTCCGTGGTAAGGAGGGAGAGTGCCCTCGATCACATCTCAGGTGATTCCACGAGCTCATCGATGGAATCAAGATCAATGGGGTACCAGCAGATGCCATCCAGCTGAGGTACTTCCCATTCACTCTGGAGGGGCAGGCCAAGGAGTGGCTAGACACTCGATCTCCGGGCTCCATCACCACGTTCGCCAACCTGGCGGACAAGTTCCTCACCCGCTACCATCCTCCATCCAAGACAGCTGACCTGCAGAAGCAAATTACACATTTTGCTCAGGATGAGGATGAGACCATCAGGGATGCATGGGAGAGGTACAACAGTCTTTTCCTCAGGTGTCCCAATCATGGTTTCAACGATGCGTTCAAGGTGGGCACCTTCTATCACGCCCTCTTCCCGGAGGACAAGCAGCTGATCGATTCGGTTTGTGGCGGGAACATGCTGACCAAAACCCCGCCACAGCTGAATCAACTCTTTGAAGAGATGGCGGAGAATGGTTATGATTGGGGCACTGCCAGGAGATCGAGGAGAGCACCAGGCCGGGGTGTGCATGCTGTGGGCACCCAGTCATCCGATTTGGTGCAGGTAGTATCGAAGCTGGTCTCAGCTATCGATCGTTCCGGGATGATTCCAGGGACCGGACAGCAGCAGGCGATGCTCTGCCAGTGGTGCGAGAGCACCCATCATATGGTGGAAGACTGCCAGGCGATGAAGGAATCGACCACGCCCCAGGAGCAGGTGAACTTCATCAACAATGTCAGGCGCAATGACCCCTACAGCAACACGTACAATGAGGGGTGGCGCCAGCATCCTAACTTCTCCTGGACTGGGCCAAATCCCAGACCACCAGCTCCACAGGGACCACCGGGCTTCCAGAGGCCACCATATCAGCCCAGACAGGGGCAATTCCAGCAGCCAGGTGCAGCCCCTGCCGCCCCAGTGCAGAATGATCAGATGGCTGAACTGCGGGACTTGGTGGGTTCTCTTGCCAGTGTTAGTGCTCAGAAATTCAACACCTTTGAGCAATTCATGGAGAAGGCCTCGGGTCAACTCCTGGCTCTGGAAGCTGGTCAGAGGAATACACGGGCTGTTTTGCAGGATATCCAGACCCAGCTGGGGAGCGTGGCCCAGGCAGTGGCTCAAAGGGCTCCTGGTACTCTACCAGGGCAGACCATCCCTCACCCGCCGACCCCGAATGAGCGCTGCAATGCCATCATGACCAGGAGTGGCAAGATGACTGTTGATCCCCCTGCTCGGGAACCGGAGAAAGAAAGCCCTGTCTTAGCGGCTCCAGCGGTTGAACAGGAAGTAGAGAAGGAAGTTGAGGTGCCTGCACCTAAACCGCAACCAGTAGTGAAGGAGTATGTCCCTAAACTCCCTTTCCCTACTCGGTTGCACAAAGACAGGCTGGAGGCAGAGTTCGAGAACTTCATGGCCATGCTTAAGAAGCTGAATGTCCAAGTGCCCTTCCTGGAGGCACTATCGCAAATGCCAAAGTATGCGAAGTTTCTGAAAGAGCTTCTCTCAAAGAAGCAGAAGCTGAGTGAGCTGGCCACGGTAGAGCTCAGCGAGGAATGCTCGGCTATTCTGCAAAACAAGCTTCCGCAGAAGAAGAAGGACCCAGGTAGTTTTACTATCCCGTGCTCTATTGATAAATTGCATGTAGAGAAGTCCTTGGCGGATTTAGGTGCTAGTATTAATGTTATTCCATATAAATTGTTCATGAAACTAGGCCTAGGTGAACCCCGTGCTACTAGGATGACCCTTCAATTAGCTGACAGATCTGTAGTGCATCCTAGGGGTATAGTGGAAGACCTTCTGGTTAAGGTTGGCAAATTCACATATCCCGTGGATTTTGTTATCTTGGACATCAGTGAGGACACAGAAGTGCCTCTTATACTGGGAAGGCCTTTCCTGGCCACCGCCAAGGCTCTCATAGATGTGCATGATGGGACCTTAGTTTTGAGGGATGGCGAGGAGCGAATAACGTT